TTATGGGTAATAACTTCCTTTAAAATTTTCGGAATCCGAGCATGTGGGCCCAAGGGTGAATTTTAGGAATCTTGCAATTTAGGTTGGGTAATCACTTAAATGGTGGAATTATGAACTTTTGAGCGTAGATTGATTAGTTTATGTAATGTTTGACTAGTTTTGATTTTTTTGGCGTCAAATTTGGAGGTTTGAGCGCATTCTTAAATTGGGAAGTAGGCTTTGAGACGAGGTAAGTCTCCTTTCTAACCTTGTAAGAGGGAATTAACCCCATAATGTTGGACCGGGCCGTACGACCTCGGGTAATTTGCGCATGTTAATTATTTGGAATTCCCTGTGATTTATACTAGGGCTGTGCACAGATCGGATTGGATCGGATTTAGCATATTTCGGATTCGGATTTCGGATTTCGAATTTCGGATTCTGAAAAGGGCAATCCGAATCCGATCCGAATTAACATTGGATCGGATCGGATTTTAAATTTTGGATCGGATAATTTTTCGGATTGTCGGATCGGATTGTCACAAAATTGCTGGTTAGGACTTAGGACCATTCATCTCCTAAAACACCATTCAATCAGGAAAAGCCATTCATCTCCTAAAGCACCATTCAATCATAATCAAAAAAATTGAGTGAATAAACACCATTCATCTCCTAAAACACCATACAATCATATTGAGATTCACTGTTGTTGGTTGTGGAATCAGTTGAAGCATCTCTTTCACCAAAATTTTCAACAATTTGAAGTTTATTCGGTGTCTCTGTCTCATCTTCCATCTACCAAAACAAAAAAAAATCAAAGTAAAATCAAAAGTTGAAAAATAGAACATGAAAGAGACATAAAAGACATAAGAGAAGGGAAGAGAGGCGGAAGAAAGAGACTAAAAATCAAAGTAAAATCAGAAGTTTGAGACTTTGAGTCTTTGAGACTCTTCAGTCTTCACTGAAGAGAAGAGAGGCGGAAAAATCTAAGTGAGTGAGGGGGTGTGTAAAAAATGAATAAGCCTAACCCTAAAATTTTAGTGTAGTATTTATATAGGTACATAAGTTTCGAATTTCGGATCGGATCGGATTTAGATCATACCAATCCGAATCCAATCCGAAAATCCGAAATTTTATAAAACACAATCCGTATCCAATCCGAAAATCCGAAATCCGAAATCCAAAAATCCGAAATAGAGTGGATCGGATCGGATTTCGGATATCCGATCCAAATGCACAGCCCTAATTTATACTGCTTAAATGCCTTGAAATGTAAGTGGCTAAATGATATGACTGAAATTTGAAATCATATGTATGAAAGAAGAACTTATCACTTCCTGGCATTAAATTGTCAGTATTATTCATGATATCCATGCTTAGCATAACACTTAAATTATATTATTGTTGGCCCTAGTAAGTGTCAAGTCGACCCCTCGTCACTACTTCTTCGAGGTTAGACTGGATACTTACTGGGCACATATTGTTTATGTACTCATACTACGCTTCTGTACTTAATTGTACAGGATCTGAGGCAGGTGTATCTAGTTACCCGCCTGGCGCACATACTTGATCTTGGATTGAAACTTCACGACGAGCTGCCCCCTTTCGACCCGTTCAGCAGCGTGCCGGAGTTTCTCTTTTGCTTGTATCTGTCTATTCTATTTCAGACAGTAGGATAGTCATCTTTTGCATATTCTGCTAGCTGCCCACTCACTTGTGACACTAAGGTTATGGGTAATAACTTCCTTTAAAATGTTCCGGAATCCGAGCATGTGGGCCCGGGGGTGAATTTTAGGAAACTTGCAATTTAGATTGGGTAATCACTTAAATGGTGGAATTATGATTGAGCATAGATTGATTAGTTTATGTAATTTTTGACTAGCTTCGAGTCGTTTGTCGTCGAATTTGGAGGTTTGAGCGCGTTCTTGAATTGGGAAGTAGGCTTTGAGACGAGGTAAGTCTCCTTTCTAACCTTGTAAGAGGGAATTAACCCCATAGGTGAATTAAATAAATGTTTGTACCTATCTGTGGGGGATACGTACGTACGTACGTGGTGACGAGAGTCCGTACGTAGCTACTATTATATTATTGTCCGGGTATTTTAGGACTCGTATCATGCTATATTTGAAATGCTTGCGTCTTTACTTGCTATTATAAACACTTAAATCATGCTGGAAATTGATAAAATAATTATAGAAGGTTATATTCACTTACTTGAGGATTTGTATAAAATACTTGACTGTAATGGGAAATGTATGCTTTCCTGAAAATAAATTATTATTTGTGGATCGGGCCGAGCGCCTCGGTAGTAAATAGATGCATCTATGGGTGGATAACTGTTTTCTTTTAACTATTTTGCCACCTCTAATTTTAAATAATATTTTGTTAAAGTTAACAAAAAAAAACGCTTAAAGTTAAAATTGAAAAAGAATATTTTGGAAGTGGTATTTATATATAAACTTCAGTGATCGATGCATATATAGTGCAACTATATATATACGGAACAACTTCTTTTTCCGGAATGTTATAATCAGTAAGTAAGAATATAATATTCGATTTATGTTTTAAATTAGTCCATATTTTAACTTTTTACTAACTCCTTTCAAAAGAGGTAGGATCCGGTGAATCGAAAACCATTAATTAATAATTCAAAATTCTTTTATGGAATAAACATATGAATATGCGTGAATCATCCTTTAATTATCATGAGCTATGTATCTTAATTATTACTCATGTGACCATGGTATAGCCATCCAATGGAAATTCGACAAAGCTAAATGATTCTGTTTAATTGAGTCAGTTTTTTTTATTGTTTAACATAATTAGTTGCAATATTATAAGCATTAGGTACTATTAGTCTAGTTTCTCATTTTTAACCTGATTAGGCAACTATATTAGTACGATCCATATATAATCTATGTATAGATTTCCTTCATGTGTCTTTTAGCTTTAATGCAATCCATATATATGTTCATAATATCTCCAACATGGTTTAGTGATATTGACCTCATCATTAACAATTAATACTTCCTTCAATTCAGGGAAGATAGACGCTAATCTATATTATATTGGGGTCTAACTTCTTATTAGTTGCAAACTGCAATGTAATTAAATACTATAATGCAACTCTAGCCTATTATTGCCTGAATCAAGGATGCTCTCTAACTATATTTTATTTTATATTACCTTTGTTTGACAAAAAATATTGATTTTGACTCAACCAATTAGATTTTTATAAAGAAGAGTTATATGAACGCATAAAATAATTATTCAACATATGCGCCAGAGCGATTAAAACGAGAGCGTCCCTTTCACCGGGACAAACAACCCATTTATGATCAGGGTCCCCTGGCTGACATAAAGTTTCAACATAAAAAAAAATCGCCTCGTCTTTGGGAATACTTAATAACTTAAGTAGGGATCCTAGTTAAAAATGATATCCACAAACCAAACAACTAGTATATTCTGTCTGGATGGTAATAAATATGAGCATTGATAGTGATATTCAATGATCCAAAAAGATGGAATGTGACATTAAATAGTAATAAATCACAGTAAATGGCATTTAGGTATATAAAATGTGTCAGTCACCCAAAAAAGGGATGAGATCAGTCGCTATTCTTTCTGACAATGATGAATATATAAGCTTTTGAACATTTGGGTTATTCTTGGATCTGGTAGAAATGCTAGACAAAAATCTTGGTAAAACGGTTATTTTTGTACATATGCGATAAGACCAGATTCTCTTTTACAAGTTACAAAGTAAATGTGTTCTCTACAAAATGAATATCTCCTCCTTCCGATCATTGTGTCTCTTTCTATTTATAGAGGACATGTTCCTAGAAAAACTTAATAATACATGTGCAGAGAATATCCACTACTAGAATATTCTCCTTTCTGTCTTATCTTAGAACTAGTCATTATAACTCTGTCTAAGATTCTCGACCTTGATCCACGATGACTTCGCAACCTTGATCTACAGTAACTTCGCAACCTCGATCTTTGTTTGACTCTTCGATTGCATCCTTTATTGCTTTGAGGCTACTTCGTCTCGAGGTTGATCTTTGTAGGGACCTTACTGATAGTACGTGGCGGTCGAAGAGGGCTATAATAATGCTGATGTGGCACATCCATATCAAAGATATTTTTTAGCCCATACAACCTTATTATGGACATCTTTGAGACAAATGGAAGTATTGGCTATTAATCTATCGTTATGAACGTATAATTACTCCAATAGTGTTTTATATTTCTCAATCGTTAATACTTGTGTCTTTGGTAAATATGAGACTTTCTTATAAAGTTTGATTAAGTCAAGTATAGACAATATTAATTGTTGAAGAGAAGAGTTCTTTTTTTTTTTTTTGGAGATTTCCCACATGGTGTCGGATACTCGCGTTGGAGCCGGATGACAGAAACAATATAATTATCTGTTGCTGTCATCCAATAGAATACCCTCTTTATTCATCTACTAATTATATGAAGAAGAAACGGTTGAAAAGTTATAAATCATCAATATTTCAATATTTACAAATATTGAACGTCGGCTGCAAAGTCATTAACTCATTCAAATACTAAATTGAAGGTGTATCTCAACCGAAATGCTGGATTTTTCTTTTCTGTTTTTACAAATTTCACCCACAAACTTTGTTTTAAGTGTGTTCTTATTGAGTCAATTTCTACCTTTTTTGCAGCTTCAACTTTATAATACTACTCCTAATTTTCTCAACTTCAAATTTAAATATTATCCAAAAAACCGACATGCATAACTAATTTTGAATTAGCCAATTAATTCCAAAATGAAAACTTAAGAAAAAGAAAAGAAAAAGAAATAACAGACCCGTCGACCAGTCCTTCCGCCCACGTGAAGGTTTCCTTTGTTTATGTCCCCACACAGATCCTCCGTATCCCTTTGTGGGGCCCTTGAAGTTAACTCGTGTCAGGCCTCATCCCTCGCACGTGACATTCTCTTCCCCCCTTCTTCCTCTCCTTCTATTTGTCCTATAAATACCCAACCTGTATCTCTTATCCTAGACAATCTCAAAAGTCATATAAACAAATGTTCTTAACTATACAAATTCAACAAAATGAATCCTTTTCCTCTTCAAAAACATAATACTACCACCATTTTTACCACCTCTCATTCTTGCATATCTGAATTTTCCTCTTCTTCTTCATTGTATCTTTTGATGTTATTAATGAAAAGTAGCTAGTATCTATAGCTAGAACGAAAAACAAAGATTGAGATTGTGAAAATCTTTAAAGTGCAATCTGTCTTACGTTAGTCCCACGCTACTGCTGACGCTCCTGCTCTTGTTCTTGGTACTTTTGCTCCTGCCACAAAGATTTTGTTCCCTTTTCCCTAAGTGTCACCTCAAAATTTTCAAAAACGTAATATTTATACCAACTTTCAATAGTTTCCACATATATATATTTAGTACTCCTATCTAACTAAATAACATATCCCTCACACCATTTTCCTTAATCTTCACTTTGCTATACTCTTTGTATAGAAGCAAAAGCCTTCCTCTTTACCTATGGCTACTAAACTTTTGTTGACACTTGCTATATGTCGGCTTATTGTAACCGTCGGGTTTAGGTTTGACCCGACTGAGCTTTTACGGCTCGGGCTCAACGGAAACCTCAGCGTGGAGGTAGCCGATTTAGAAACCGCCTCCGTGGACTTCGGCGGGTTGCATAGAGCCGAGCCGATGGCAGTTCTTAACCCGGCTACAGCCGAGGACATAGCGCGGCTTGTGAAAGCTGCGTACGACTCGGCTCATGGGTTTACCGTGTCGGCTAGAGGACACGGACATTCTATAAATGGACAGGCTATGACAACAAATGGTGTTGTGATTCAAATGAGCGGCGGCTCTAACTCTAAGCAGAAGTTATTGACCAAGGTTTCGGAGAAATTCATGTATGCTGATGTGTGGGGTGGAGAGTTATGGATAGATGTGTTGACGTCCACCTTAGAGTATGGACTTGCACCAAAATCATGGACTGATTACTTGTACTTATCTGTGGGTGGTACTCTCTCCAATGCTGGTATTAGTGGACAAGCTTTCAATCATGGCCCTCAAATTAACAATGTTCATGAGCTTGATGTTGTTACAGGTGCGTTTAATTTAATTCCCTTTTTTTTTTGTTCTTGTCCAAGGGTCTATCGGAAACGCGTACACATTACCTTCCCCAGACCTCACTTATAAGATTTCACTTAATTTTTTGTTGTTGTGGTTTTTATTGCATGTAAAAAATTTCTTTTCAAAGTGAAACTCCTAAATTATGAGAGAGTTTTTTTACACTTTTAGTGTCTAAAAGTTAAAAAATATCATAAAATATTCACTTATGGTATCATTGCCAAAAACAATAATTCTTACATTCTTATCTTCAAGATTTCAGGACGTTATTGTACTCTCTCTATTTAATACTTAATTCCTAATAGCTTTTGTTAAGAAAGAAAGTAGATGCCAGATATGTTACTTTAGAACAATAACATGGGATGTTAGGATGGTTTTTTGTCTTGTAATATCTTTAGATGGGGTGTTTTATCGATAGCTTTATATTTGTGTTTAGTAGGAACCCCTTTTTTTTCAGAATATGTTTAGAGATATGTACTTGAAATTGTGTGAGTACCACATGGGGTGTTTTTGTTTTTATGCTTAAAATCTCTTACTTTGGGCATGGTATAATCATTGTCATTAGTACCAATAATTCTTATTCTCTTAAGAGCAATGACAATAGATTGTCATAATAATTGATTGTTTTATGCACCACTCTTTTGGATTTTGGGGTAAAATTAGTGATAAAAGTATATAATTAGGACCAATTTTATCATATTTGATGTGACTCATGGGATTTTGATACAGGTAAGGGTGAGCTATTAACATGTTCAGAAAAAGAAAATTCCGAGCTGTTTCATGCTGCTCTTGGTGGATTAGGACAATTTGGGATCATAACAAGGGCAAGAATTGCACTTGAACAAGCTCCCCAAAGGGTAATATTTAATTTCTTTTTTTTTGTCCTAATATAAATGCTAGTACTAAATAGAGCATATTCCACTATTTTTGATTGCCTTTTGTTTTCTACATGGTGGGGTTTTGGCTGGTTGAAGACTTTTTTATTTCTTAGTATTAGTTTTTGGACAAGACATGAAACGTAGTTTGCATAATTCATGACATAAGAGCAAGGAAAATGGGTCCTTTGTTAGTAGCTTTTTCCAACTTCATATTAAACGGCTGTTCTTAAGCTGGCACTGCTGTTGACATATTACTTTTCCCTCCAAAAAAATGTTATATCACTTTCTATTTTAATTTTCATTTTTTTTCATTTTTCTTCATATATAACTCGTGAATAATTAAAACAAAAAATCTACTTTTCTTAGCGTTTAACTTGTATAGACAAGTGTACTTTAACTTAGTGTTGCAAGTAACATGTCTATTTTTTTAGGTTATTAATCCTTTTTTTTATGAACAGTTGCTTATATATAATTATCTTTAGGTGATATGATAGAGTAAACATTCTCTTTATGGACGATTAACTATAGTTATTTTTTAATAACTTAATTATGTAAGAACTCTTTTGACTGTCAAATTAAAGTAAACTCATTTATTTAATGTACATGCAGGTGAGGTGGATTCGGGTTTTATATTCAAATTTTTCAACATTTACCGAAGACCAAGAATATCTAATATCTCTACAGGGAAAACCAGCTTCCCAAAAATTTGACTATGTTGAAGGATTTGTTATAGTTGATGAAGGCCTCATCAACAACTGGAGATCTTCTTTTTTCTCCCCAAGTAACCCTGTCAAGATTTCTTCTCTTAAGTCTGAAGGAGGAGTTTTATATTGCTTAGAAATCACCAAAAATTATCACCTTTCAAATGCTGATATCGTTGATCAGGTTTGTACCCACTATACTCTATTTGAAAATTATGCATGTTTCGTTACAAATGTTATATTGTTGCTAAATCATGATTATGTTAGTTAATTATATTATTTCCTGATAGATTATATTAAATAAAGTATCATTAGTTTAGTTTCTTGATTCCTGCACACATGATTCCCATCTGTATTGACATTTGAATATAAAGAAAAAAGATGATTAAAGTTGGTGATCGATTGCTATAAGATGCGCTAGTAGTAGTTAACCTTTAGCTTTAGCTCTCTGATTAATGCATATTTAGTGCGAATAAAGCCTGTAAAGTAGACGATATTTTGCTAAGTGAAGCTAGATATATATATAGGTGGCGAAGCTATACCTTAGGAGGCCTGTTTTCTTCTTTTATTTTAATTACATGCTAAATTTTACTACTAGTCTACATTCATAACATATTATAAAAAAAATTATGCATATGAAAGATTTTAGCATTATAAGTATAGCTTCATCTTCTTTAGCCGAGGGTTTATCGAAAACAATCTCTCTGCCCTCCTAAGGTAGAAATAAAGGCTGCACACACCCTACCCGTTTCAGACTCCATTTGTGGATTACACCGGATTGCTCTTGTTGTATAGCTTCATCTATAGTAATAACCTAATATATATTACTTACCAATTCATTTACAAAAGTTACTAGTAATTAACGTTTAAGTGACATAATAGTACAAAATTCTGTAACACTCTGGGTGTATATATAGTTAAACTCATACTATTAAAAAAGAAAGAATGTGGTAAGTTATTTAATTGCTGACATAGAAAAATTAATTAGAACATTCTATAAGGTTTAGTTGTCGCTATTCCTGTTTGGTACATATCCAAAGCTATTTCTAGGAATAATTAAAGTAGATTATTATATTATCTGTTCATCACTCTGATTATTCGATGACAGCATTCGTCGTAAAAAGATGGAACACAACATGCACAAGAAAACATGGAAGATCTTTCACAATCTATCAGCTCTGTCAGATCCTAAGATAGAACGCAAACTTTAATTGTTTATTAGTATTATATAATATAACTATATTATAATATGATTATATCTATGCCGTCCACTGACCACCCACCAAAATTTATTCCCTTAAGTCTAATAATTCTGTTTTATAGTATGAGTTTTTAATTGGAGTTTGCATGAAACTAAATTAAAGGTTATCCTGACAAAAGTAACAGTTGAGCAGCGACTACCTTTTTTGTACTTTGATTACAATTTTTTAATGTGTGTTAACTTTGAACGTGAATTGTAATTGTTCTTTTTCTTTTTTTTGTAATGAAATGCAGGAGATAGAGACTTTGTTAAAAAAGCTAAAATATATACCAGCATCAGTTTTCACAACAGACCTTCCCTACGTGGATTTCTTGGACCGGGTTCACAAGGCAGAGCTGAAACTCCGGTCTAAAGGATTGTGGGAAGTGCCACACCCATGGCTAAACCTATTTGTGCCAAAATCAAGAATTGCAGACTTCGATAAAGGAGTTTTTAAGGGCATTTTGGGGAATAAGACCAGTGGTCCCATACTCATCTACCCCATGAACAAGAACAAGTAAGTTCTTAATCGAAATTGTTTTACTTACACTCTGTATTTACATTAAATTATACTATGAGTATTAATTTATTATAGTTAAATAATAAATAAATATCAAAATGCAAATGAGATAGTCATAATTAAGTGATTAAAATTAAATTGAAGACAAAATCGGTAGTCCTATATGTAATCTGACTTTAATGACTATATATACTATAAGCAATCGTTCATAAAATAATATTATTAATTAGTAACTTGAAAAATAAAATAAATTTTCTGGCATGCCGCAACTACTATAATGTAAAAATATTTACACCGACAGTTATATAAGTTGAATCCTTACAATTATGGCTTCTTCTTCTGATATATATACATACTGTCATCTACCTCTGTCTATTTCTTACGTTGGTTGTCTGCAGTGCATGCATGCAAAAAAACAGTATGTAGTATGTACTATGCTATGCATATGTAATGCATATATAATTTGTGCTGTTTTTCATGACACAAACTTTGGTAGAACTCTCGATACGTCTATGTCATGTACATCCCCTCACAATTTGGATTATGTTCATTTGACATCGCACCCGATTTTTGTAATTTTATCGATAATTACGAAAACCTAAAGACCAAATTTTCAACCAATCTTCATAAACATGGTCCATTGGTCCCTCCCCTGTTAATTGCTTTAAGCGATCGTTCAGTGTCTACTTTTTGTGCAGAATTTTTGCTGTAATTTTGTTTTGTCCTAGCTAAAAGACAGCAAAATGACTAGTAAATTGGCAGAATCCAAAAGATATGAATAGTGACAATCCGACGTTCTATACCAAACTCCATGCCCCTCTAATGACCCCACTTAAAGGCGAATTCAAATAGTTTAGTATTTCTCTGTTTTCATTTATGTGATTTTTTTTATCTATAAAATGAATGTTTCTTTTTATATTTAGTATTCTTTAACTCTAACTTTCATATAGTATATTTAAGACCAGAAAATTTAAAAATATTTTGATTATTACAGGCATTTTTAGTTTAAGACTAATTATGATTTAAAAGCTTTTGTTACTTTTTTAAATTTCATGCCCAATCAAACTAGGACAGATAAATTAAAATATAGAGGGAGTATTTCTTTAGGTTTCTAGCATTGATTTCCCCTAAACCATCCCAATGCTTGCTTTAATTTGGGGTCAGTAGTTATTTCAGTTCATGTAATATGTCGTATGATTAAGTGGCACGTCCACCTAAACACGTGGCATGCATGCATAATACTAGTCCAATATCCAGCTAGAACTATGAACCTTATGTCCATTTAAATCCAAAAGGAAATTAGAAGGTACAGAAATGGTCCAAAACAATGAAGATCCTCTTGTCAGGAAGATCTTCCCTTTGGGGACCAATTCATGGCTCATGTAATAGTTATACTTCCTAACCTTATCAAAAAACAACTCATGAATCTTCGAAAATCTTGTTCTAAGTACGGGAGTCCAATCGATACGACAAATTTATTGTAATGTATGACCACACTTTTATTTAAACGTTTAAATTGTTACTTTATTCAAAAGTTTATATAGGATTATATATGAAACACTTTTATTAAGTTAATTTGTAGATTTACAAATGCTTGTTAAGTACAAAACTTTTATCTAACAACTTAAAGTTCTTAAATGAAAGACAGAGCGCTATAAAATTTATATATAAACGACTTAGTGAATAATAATCACCGTTTCGACATAATCATTCCTAGTTTTCTGACATTTTAGGGTTATAAAATAGAAATTTAGGGGCCGACCTCATACCGTCGACCTCGGGCCGTAGTGGCATGCCACGGCCGACCTTGTGCTATTGACATAGGCCTGCCACGGCTGACCTCAGGCCATTGCCATAAGCCTTGGCCTCGCACGCGACACTTCAAAAAACCTCTATTTGCGATATTGTCTTTGCATATTGGCCTCACTCTTGGCTTGTGCTGTGATTTTTTTAATAGGTGGGACGAGAGGAGTTCAGTAGTGACGCCAGAAGAGGAAGTTTTTTACTTAGTGGGATTTCTGAGGTCGGCATTGACAAATGGTGACGAGACACAAACATTAGATTACCTCAGCAATCAAAACTACGAAATATTGAAGTTTTGTGAAGATGCAAAGATCAAAATCAAACAATACCTGCCTCATTACACAACACAAAGAGAATGGAGGGACCATTTTGGAGATAAATATTGGACCAGATTTCAGCAAAGGAAATTAGAGTTTGACCCAAGACATATTTTAGCCACCGGCCAACGTATTTTCATGCCTTCTTTTAATCCTAATATTGCCTCTTGGTGACGCATGCCATAGTGTGTTTTGAGATATTAATTAGGATTAATTAGGACTATGATCAAATTTAATTAGTGATAGATTGATAGGATGTCTAATATATTTGTTGTACATATCAAGGGGAAAAAGGAACAAGAATTAATTCACTTAATTATTTAGTAAAGAGAAGCATGGTTCCGCTTGGGTTACAAATTTTTGGACTTGTAAATTTTTTTTGTCTTCTTATTTTTCCTTTTTTTATTATCGCGTAGTACGGTTGAGGAGTGGTTGCCTCTCAAGAATTTGTCATTTTACACGTACGATATTTAAGACGTCGTCATCAAGAAAATTTTAAACGATAATATAGAAGAAAAAGACTGCGTCTTTTAGTCATGAATTACCATAGTCCTTCTGACTTGGGACATTATTTGTAGGGTATTCACATCCTATAATTCACGAGGTAAAGAATGCATGAGCATTGGATAATAGAAAGAAGTAAGAGAATTTTCTGGATTTAGTGATCAATTATTTTTCTTTTATATAAGTAGGTTGTACAACGACTCAACTCCTTAAAGTCAAGAAGGGAAGAAAATAAAAGAAGAATTTATTAGACAAGGACCACGTGCTGTGTTTTGCATACCAAGTTAGTTACTAGTATTTTGGTGATACATATACCTTTCCAATCAATAAATCATGTCTTACTAAATGGTTTAAGGGCTATCTCCACCCTTTGTGTATTAATAATGTCTTCATTAGTTATTCAAATTCAATAGTATTCCCTTTTAACCCTTTTGACTACTTTCCCAGTTTTCTTTCAAAAATCTTATTAAAATTCTCATATAACCAATATTGTTGCACAAACTTGTAAGTTGAAATACTAATTACTATTATTCTGTTCAAGGTGAAAAAAAGAGATAAACTATTGGATTTGATGAAATCCATTTAGTCGAAGAGTTTAGCAGCCTCAACATGAAGTAGCCAGGTCTTTCAAATATGAGCCCACTTTACAAAAAAGCCCAATATGATTTGTAACGTAACCAATTTGGGTGCCAATATCGTAAATATAGCACGGGCTAGCCAGTTTTCGGACTGGTCATTGAAAAATAGCCAACGTTTGCAAAGTCATCGAAAAATAGCCATTATTTTGCTGCAACACGGAAAGTTCCAGCATAATATACTGGAGATCGGTGCACCTGTGTATGAACTTCCAGCATATTATGCCGGAACTCCAACACGCGGAAAGTTCCAGCATAATATACTGGAGATTGGAGAACCTGTGTATGAACTTCCAGCATATTATGTTGGACCAATATATTATGCTGGAGTATTTTTCGGATTTTGAACAGTGTTTCGTTCAGATTTATCTTTACATGAAAAGTGGCTAAATTTCGATTACTTTTGAAACTGTGCCTATTTTTTAACGACCACTTGTAAATCTAGCTATTTTTGAATTTCTCCCGCCACGTTTGGATGTCAGTATAGGGGAGAAGAGGTAGAAATGCCATCAGGTAGCCACTCAATGGCCTGCTATTTAGGAATTAGCCTTTATTTTGAATTTTAGTTTTTCAGGACAAAAATATCCTGATTATCCTGAAATTAAAATTTTTAGGACAAATTAAATACTGATTAATTTCTAAATAGAAATCTAAGAATACTATTTGTATATTTCCCCTGGAAAATAGCTCATTTCTTAAGGAAATAAGAAATTTCCTGAAAGAGTGGACGTACTGTCACGACCCAACATTCTCACATTCGGGACCGTGATGGCGCCTAACATTTCACTTGCTAGGAAAGCCAACATTAGAGGAACTTTAAGCCAATTTTAATCAATTTCAATAAGTAAAGTCAATTAAGCCAAAATGAAACTAAAACTGAGTGCGGAATAACATAAAAAGCTAATAATATCTAATACAACTCGGATCTGGAGTCACAATTCACGAGCTTCTAGAATTTTCTACAAACAGAGTCTGAAATAAGTACAACTATCTCGAATGAAAAGAGCAGTAAATTGGGGGAAATGGAAGGGGACTTCAAGGTCTGCGGACTCCAGCAGATCTACCTCGAGTCTCCATCTCAGCTGATCCGAGATAATGCACCTCACGGACAACTAGGACCAATACCAAAATCTGCACAAGAAGTGCAGAGTCAAGTATGGGTACAACCGACCCCATGTACTCCGTAAGTGTCGAGCCTAACCTCGACGAAGTAGTGACGATGCTATGACAAAACACCCACGTAAATAACCTGTGCAGATAACAATATACGTACAAAATAACAACAAATAAAGGCTAACATTGTACTATTGGAATGAGACATGCGAAAAGGGTACAAGATACGATGATTACAACAGAAATGATAACCAGAACAATCAATATGCCTTCAACCAGTAAAACAAATAAACACAATGAATAAAATTGCACGGTATCACCCTTCGTGCTTTTACTCTTACTTTCATCATAAATAATATGGCACGGCATTCCCCTTCGTGCATTAGCTTTCAAAATATAACACGGCATCACCCTTCGTGCATTAACTCTCACAATATGGCACGGCATCACCCTTCATGCATTAACACTCAAATACGGCACGACATCATCCTTCGTGCATTAACACCCTCCCTTACCATATAACAATGAACATGTAACAACAGGGAGATAGAATAAACAAGAACAAGCCTTACGTCAACAAGGGTTTCACAATACCAACCTCAACTTTAGAAACAATACTTAATTATCACAAAAAGCCCATAAACGCGGTAAGAACGATCCATTTAATAAATAACTAGTCTAAGCATGGATAACATGATCAAAGTAAGTAATAAATTACAAGGAACAAGTCTCACCCGCATGCTTTAACCCAACAACAACGCATATGTACTCGTCACCTTACATATGTGTTGTACCCAACATCTTAGCAAATAGACAAACAAGTCCTAATCCCTTAAGTCAAGGTTAACCACGATACTTACCTTGCTCCAAAGATCAACTCAAAGCTCAAGCACAACATTTCCTTTCAAACAAGCCTTTGAACCAACAAATCTAGAAAATTACCAACCAAACATTCAACTTAAGCCTTAGGAACTACCCACGATTGCAAAAGATTCAATTTAGGTCATTATTGAAAAAGTCAACAAAAGTCAACTCCCGGGCTCGCTTGATCTAAATCCGAAATTCGGACCAAAATCCGACTACCCATTCACCCCCGAGCCCGGTTATGTAATTTGTTTTGAAATCCAACCTTAATTTGAGGTCTAAATTCCAATTTTACAAAAATCCCTAATTCTACTCAAACTCCCAATTTCCACCATGAAAACACTATATTTTAGGTTGAAATCTTATGAAATGTAATGAAAGATCGAAAGAAAATAGGTTAGAATCACTTACCAATGGATTGTGGAAGAAGGGCCCTTAAGAAAATCGCCTCTAGGGTTTTCTTGTTTTGAAAATTTGAAGAATGAGAGATATCCCGTCTAACTCATATATTTTCAGTTGCAGATGTCGCAATTGCGACCCCCCTCAAATGCGAAAAATACCTCGCAATTCGAAGTCTTCGCACATCTGCTTTCATTGCATTTGCGATGAAACGTTTGCAAATGCGAACTCTGGTCTCCCTGCAAATGCGACCTCCTGATCGCAATTGCAATCGTTGCTGGCCCAGGCCTTCTTCGCAAATGTGAAGAAGTGGTTCACAAATGCGAACCTGACAGGACTTTGGGTAGTTCGCAATTGCGAACACTGACCTCTCATTTGTAAGATCAGAGACCAGTACCAGAAGCAGATGCACTAGTTATGTTTTCTAAGTCCAAATTCACTACGTAGCCTATCCGAAACTCACCCGAGCCCCGGGGGCTCCAAACTAATCATGCACACAAGTCCAAAAACCTCGTATAAACTTGCTCGTGCGATCAAATCGCCAAAATAAAACCTACAACTAAGAATTGAACACCAAATCAAATGAAATTTTCATGAAAACTCATGAACTTCTATATTAACAATTCTGCTCACCAAACTTGACAGACAAGTCATAAATATAGTAATGGACCTATACCAGGTTGCGGAACCAAAATACGGACCCGATATAAATAAAGTCAAATATTGGTCAAACTTTTGGATTCATTAAGCCTTTAAACCTTATTTTTCAACAAAATACGACAACTCAAGCTAGGGACCTCCGAATTCGATTCTGGGCATATGCCCAGTTCAAATTAGGAGACGGACCCACCGGGACCGTCAAAACATAGATCCGAGTATGTTTTCTCAAAAAGTTGACCGAAGTCAACTCAAATGGATTTTTAAGACAATTTTCCATATTTGTTCAATTTTTAACATGAAGATTTTATGGGAAAAAATACCCGGACTGCGCACGCAAATCGAGGAAGGCTAAAATAAGTTATTTGAGGCTTCAAAACACAGAGTTAGGCTCCAAAACTTTAGATGACCTATCAGGTCATCACGTTCTCCACCTCTAAAACAACCGTTCGTCCTCGAACGGACAAAGAAAAGTACCTGGACTGGTGAAAAGGTGTGGATATCTACTCCGCAGGTCCGATTCGGACTCCCACGTAGCTTCCTCGACAGGCTGACCTCTCCACTACACTTGAACTGAAGGACAACTCTTTGACCTCAACCAACGAACCTGCCGAGTTAGAATAGCTACCAGCTCCTCCTCATAATTCAAATCCTTGTCCAACTGGACAGAGCCGAAAACTAACACATGGGACGAATCACCGTGATACTTCCGGAGCATAGACACGTAGAACACCGGATGGACTGCTGATAAACTAGATGGCATTGCGAGCTTGTAAGACACCTCACTCACTCTATGAAGAATCTCAAAAGGTCCGATATACCTAGGGCTCAGCTTGCCCTTCTTTCTGAACCTCATCACACCCTTCATAGGTGAAACCCGGAGCAATACCCTCTCTCCGACCATGAATGCAACATCACGAACTCTACGGTCGGCATAACTCTTCTACCTGGACTGAGCTGTGAATAATCTTGACCTTATACAAGGCATCTATACCCAACAACCGAGCCTCCCATGGCTCGAACCATCCGACTAACGATCGGCACCACCTCTCGTATAATGCCTCATAGGGAGCCAATTGAATGTTTGACCGGTAGTTGTTGGTGTAGACAAACTTCGCAAGCCGCAAGAACTGATCCTTAGAACCTCTGAAGTCTATAACACAAGCGCGGAGCATATCCTCCAAT